ACGGCGCTTGTGTGTTTTGCCCTGCGGGGGCGCGGTTAAGAGGACTAGAGAGAGAGAGAGAAATAAAAAGAGAGAGGTTTTATTTGTATATAAAACAACACAGCGCACCCAAGGGGATATAAAGAGCGCGGCACAGAGAGAGAAAATCTCACAGTCGCGCGCACACCAAGGATTCTGGCACGTGGTTAACAGAGAGAGAGGTCGCGCACGGCACAGCGCTCTCACACGCGCCTAGATCTGCGCAATGGAGGTACGCGCTGAGCGAACGTAGGAGGAGAGTAGAGAGTCGCGCGCGAGAGAGAGGAAGGAGGAGAGCCTCGGAATAATCGCGCAGATCTAAAAGTCTGGAATATCGTGTAAGAGTAAATAGTCCCCCCCCAACAACGCAGGTGAAAAGTCGGAACGCGAGCAGTAAGAGGTGCGCACAGAGGAGGGTGGAGTTGTGATAGCTGTGAAGAGGAGCAATAGAAGCGGAGAGCAAGATTGTGAGGGAAATAGGATCTCGGGAGAAATGGATGAAGAAGTGTTAGAACGGCCAGATAATAGAATATTTGAGAGCTCAGGCAAAATGACGCACACTGAGCTGGTAATGGATCGAATTGGATCCTCGAAATTCGCACACTAAAGAGAAATTATTTAATTTACATACAGAACTCAACAGGAAAAAAGAAACAAGAAGGGAAGGAATGAAAAGCATGACTAGAAACTTGGCCGATGGAAATAGAAATAAACAAAACTAATCTTTGTTTAAATTGATGTTGTGAGATTGTCTAAAGTGGATTTTATTGTTGTTAATAATTACCCTGTTTTCCTTTCAATTTTGTATGAGTGCATCAGAAAAAAATGTATTTAATAACAATAATCTTTGTTCAAAGGATTTTGGAAATCTGCTATTAATCATTCTTTCCATATTGAAGGGTAATTTTTTCTGGTAATTCTCAATATCCTCCAATATGCCTAGTTTGCATCTTACTTTATCATTCAGGATTTGGTCAGTCCTTGTATACCAAAGATTGATAGCAAGACCTTACTCTAGCCATTTGTATTCTTAGTATTTGTTAGTCTGACATGAGATCTGCTCTGTACAGAAATGTGGAGATTGCCTTAGTTTTGTAAAATTGATTCAACTCTGGATTTGCCTTTGAAAATTCTTTTAATTCTGTCACCTACTTTGGAATTTCCTAATTTTAAATTTTCCATCTTCCAAGTTGTCAAAACTTAATAAAATAACCAAGGCATTTAAAATTATACATTTGTTCAACTGATTGGTCATTTATTGACAATTTTGCTCTTATCAGAGGTTTTCCTAGAAAAGCTTGTAGTTTGGTTAGTCTATAAAGATTTCAAGATAATATGTTTTGGAAGTTATGTATGGTTATTATTAGGGAATGTATATTTAAGTAAAGAGATATTTTTTCCAACTCATTTTAAGACTTATTGGCAACACTTTCCATTCAGAAATTAAAAAATGCTTGTAGGCATTAAATTTAAAAATGTTTGTATGCTTTAAACACAGTATTGAATTTTTATTTTTGTTATTTTCTATATTTTAAACATATTTTGGAAAAAATAAAAACATATGTATGTACTTTTCCTTTTTTGTTACTATAAATTCCTTTCTCTAGTTATTATATGTTCATTTCCTATATATAAAGAAAAATAAAAGACAGAATTTAAAAATGTAGGAAATTTGCTTAATTAACTATAATCTATTGTAATTTAACCCAATGTAAATTAATAGAAAATATATACTGTCATCTCCCAAAATAAATAGAAAATAAAATCGTAATTGATAAGCATACATTAAATGACATTGTACTTTATTCTTAAAAAAAGCTTTGTGTACTTACAATCTTTGTATTTTTGCCTTCAAACATTCTATTTCATTCTGAGCCTTATCACAAAATTCTTTGTAAGTTTGATAACTCAAATTCTGAAATAAATAAAAATAACTATATTACATGTCAAAGGTAATTCGTATTAACAAATGAGTTGGCAAGTAACAAACCATCTGCTTATTATGTGTGAAGAACCGCAACCGATGCTCTTTTTGAAACTTAAGCACTTTGAGAATCTTATTCAAATAATTGAATGGATCATTAAAATTTTCTTTTAAATCTTCTGACATCTGCAACAAAATAATGTAACACTGAGTAGCACTAGAAGGCCATAACTTAATATGAAAGCATTATTTTTTCATTTATAATATACCTCAGAATTTATTTGTGTTACTACATATTGTTTTCTACAGACAGAACATGTCTGAGAAAAATTATTATCTGTAACAATTATGTGAACAAAATGATTGATTAGCACAATAATCCATATTTAATTCTCTTCCGTTTCATTTTCCAAATAGAATACATCTTTTTCACATTTACCAAACGTCAAACATGATTTGCAGTATAAATGCCCGCAACTTGTAAAATATAAGCCTCGTTTTTCAGTGTCCCCAGGTTGATAAAAACAGGAATTGCAATGCACCCAGTCCATTATGAAATCTGCGCCTTCGAATACAGAACTGCTACTGTCTTTGCCGCCATTGGAAAGGTATGGTAATTACCAATGTTGGCAACATTAGAATGCTAAAGCACTAAAACGTTAATTAACTAGTAGCACAATATACGAATCAATACAATAATACTTGTAGTCAGCTAAAAAAATCAGCCAATTTGACGTTTGAAAAATGTCACTGTCGAATGTCTTTATGCTCGATTTAGGGTAGTTTTGTTTCGTTTTGTGTTGGCAAAAGCCGTTGCTAAACTTTACACAATTGTGCCTGTACATACAATTCATTCTGTACATATTTCTAATACGTTTACGTGGTAGGTACATTTTTTAAAACTTAAGTTTGCAACAGAGTATATATGATACAATGAAAAAGTGACTACTTCCGTAGATTCCGCCAACATTCAAGCCATTCATTTGGATTGTGTTTGGATTCATTTGGATAGTTTGTAATTATTGTTAGCGATTCGGATTTTGCGGTTTGCTGTTTTTCATAAATCTGCATTTAGTGATTTCGTTTAATTTATTAATTTAGTACAAAGCATTTTTTTCCCAAATGTTTTCATTACTAATCGCTGAGTTAGTTGAGATAGTTTAAGTACATGTTAGTTTTTTTGTGTAAAATTAATTTTATTACATTTGTTATTAAATTTTCTGAATCCATTTTATTAATAATTGAAAAATAATGAATAGCCCAACATCTGGGCCTATCCTTAGTGTATTATCTTTAAGGTTAAAGCTAATTCGAACGTCTCATCAAAAGGAAGTGTAAATTTATTTTGTGGATTGTGGAAGGAATCGGTAGAAGAGGTCCTTGTCCCTTATTTCATTCACTTCTTTCACAATACAAATGGCTAAATGATAATGGCTGTAAGATAATTGTTTTTTATTTCTAAATTTAATATTTTAAAATTGACAGATCTAACTGAACTGAATAGAACTGAAATATAATTTTAAGGATATTAAAGAACAATAAAACTTCGCCCTAAATGGCAATTTTCTTTGAAAAATTTCGAGCCGTATTTAATGGCATTTAAGTGCTACTGTAAATTCATCTTATAGAGTGCATTTAGTACTATTCATACCAAAAGTTGAAAGAAATCATTGGGAGCTGTTTTTGAGAAAATCTTGTTTTTGTAATTTTTTAAAATTGCAAATATTGCACGCAATATTGCACAAAAACTACTAAAACTTTCAAAAAATGTGCATGATCTTAATGAAGGAACTCACTATGGAGAACAAATTTTATTGGGAGGAAAAATGTCAATCTTAAATCTTGTATTTGTAGGAAGACGCCTCAAAAAATCAAACATTTTGAAAAATTTAGTGTTAACCGTGAAAATCGAATTTACGCCACTTTTATAAGTGTATTTTACTCTTATCTTTCCAAGAAAAATAATTGAAGCCGTTATTGAGAAAATTTTGAAAATGCCCGAGGGGCTTCTTGTAAAGTACCTCCCAATTTTGAAGAATTTTTTTTTCAAAATCTAAAAGATTCGACACCGGTTTATTCAATTAAGAAAACATTGTACTATGGCGGCAGTAGTGTTCACAGACAGATGGACAGACTGATACACGTTTTGAAAAAAGCAACTTTATTCGGTATCAGTGGGCCCCAAAACGTATATTTCCATTGACATCTCGAAATCTATTTTCGCAGCTTTACATAACTTTCCCTATACTACGTATAATATTCCGTACATTCGTACGTATACGGGAAAGTAAAAATAAATGTTGATTTTTTTCGAACTTCACAGTTTTTCAGCTCGTGGTTGAAGTGCTAGCAGAGTAGTAATCTTTTCTGTGTACAATGTGCTAAGGATAGATGTCGCTTTTGAACTAAATTTACGAAACCATAGACATAAACTCCGTAAGTGAGCTACTGCTAGCCAAATGATTAACACCCAATCCTGCTTGAAACAGATTTAAGGCGAAGAAATAAAAGTTTTCTGATTATGGCCTAGAGAACAAATTACTGCAACACATTAAAATTAGGCACAACTCGGAAATGTTGCATGCTTGAATCTTATCATAATTTTAATGTAACAGGTGAGGTTTTTAAAGGTTAAAGATTAATGATTTTTGGGTGACGTGTGTGTGTGTGGGAGGGGGGCAGGTGATTCCCGAATGTTGTTTCTTAACCAGTGTTCAAGAATATGAATTTTCTAATAAATTTTACGACATTTAGCTCTTCTGTAGGCCCCTACTCTGTAACATGGGTGCTCATATAAGAGCAGTAGCTCAATATCTACCCAAAATTAAAATGAAGGAATAGAGATAAATAATACACGTTACAATTAAAGTGACCATTGCATGAAATTCATTCTCAACTCTTAATAACATCAGAATGTAGTCTACACTCATACAAAAAATCATGTGGAAAACTGGTTTTATGCATCAAGGGACGACTGTTCAAAGTTAGGAACCAATACGAAGTTTTGGTTTTACTTATAAGGCATTGGGTCCTATGAAAAAAAAAATAAAAAAAAAAAAATGAGCACTTGCTCCGGAGCAAAGTGAGTATACTCCGCGGCACTGAGCAGAAGCTCCATTTCGTATGAATAAAAACTTCGCATGTCTCCGAAGAACTTACTCATGTCTCGCGAGCATTTGCTCGTCGTAAACACGTCATAGTGCAAGCTAAGAGTTTTAAAAATGGGTTTCTTGAACAACAAAGAGGTTACATACGTTACGCGCGTCGCGCATATGTGTGCCGAATAAAGAGAAATATTTTGTTGTCTCGTTCTTTAAATTCGAATACAAATAGCAGTAATGCATTTTGCAGGCGCCAGAGGCCCAGCTACTTTTGCCGAAATGCTAAGTGAATATAAAATTATTTTTGAAAAGAGCCAACTTTCGGAGGTACGCTGTGGTCGAAACAAAACATTACAAAGTTTCAAAAAACAGTACCCCGAAAAATTCCAAGTAGAAAAGAGCGATGGCCAATTAACATAGAAGATATGCAATATAAAAACGCGCCTTAAACATACGCCGATAAAATCCTACCAACCATACATTGTCCTTTTCGAATTGGCAAAGGTTCTAATAGTCTACATCACGAGAATTTCGCCTTATCTTGAAATTTGTTTAGTCCGATGCATGTGCATATCAACACACGGTAAAAAATCGGCCAATTTAATCTTACTTTTCAACCGTAAGTATGCTACTAAGGTCCCTCCGAAATTTTGGAGCTAGTGCTCAGTCTAGAGAGTAAACGCTTAATTTTATTCATACCAACACTGAGCATTTGTTCGCCAGTTGAGAGTACGCTCAGAGTTGGAGCAAGTGCTCAGAGACTGAGCAATTGCTCACCCACCTTATTCATACGAAAATAAGTAGGATCTCGCAGCAAAGAGTACTTGCTTACTTTTATTCATACCACCCATTGATTTACGAGAAGTGGAATGTTCGCCAATAATAGGAGAAAATACGTGCAGTTGAAGCATGAAGTGTGGCTGTTCAGTAATGTTATACCATGTCTGTACCACGGGTGGAACGTCGCACTTCTGGTGAACACCGTCTCGTGAAGTCGAAGTGTCTGGCGCAGGCTGCGAGGGCGGATCCGCGCCCGCGCCCGCGCCCGCCCTCGGGGCGCCCTCGGTGGCGATTGGCCGCTGATTAAGAGAAATCGCCTTGGAGACTCCACTGCCCCCATCTCCACCCGTTCCTTTTCCTCTTGCCCCCGCCTCCGCTCCCGCTCCGATGGCCTCTAATCGTTGCTCCCCGCCCCGGCTCAGCGCCTGCTCTCGCGCTCGTCCCACCGTACACAGTGGGCCAAAACTATTTTTATATGTGGCGTGTAACAGTTTTGATTTTGGAACACGCGGTTCGATCGCAATTCTTTTGAAACCATCATTCAGTTTAGGTGATTGATTAGTGATTCCGAGCGGGTCAATTGCGACGGGTATTAGTCCCATAAATGTAGTCCTTGTTTTTAACGGGAGGTGGCGGTAATCTCCCGCTGGATGGCGAGATCCACCGCCGAACTACCGTCGGCTAACGGGGGTTTCCCCAACCAGGTATCTCCCAGTAGCGGGGCACCACCCTAGCAGGAAAAAGCTCTAAGCGTCCGACCGGTAATGTGATAGTGAGGTGGAAGTTAGTTTATGTGTGTGTATATAAGGGGTGCGAACAGGACAAGGAAGATGAAGGAAAGATCGCCCGCGGTCATTGGCCCGTCTGTAAGGGTACTGCTCCGGCATTCGCCTGGTGTTGAACGGAGAAACTACAGAAAACAACCGATCAGAGCGGCCGGACGCTAGAATTCTTCTCCAGAGAGCGATTGAATTCTACCTAGCGTCGAAAATTCAATCACCAGTCAGGACTCGAACCTAGGACCTTCCGATCAGAGGCACTGCAGTGACATCAGTTGACGCCCTGAACCACCTCTCCCGGGTTAGGAGACAGCCTTAGCTGCGGAGGGAAAGTCATATGTACAGATTCCCTGTGGTTTGAGCTTTTGCGTATCCATGGGTTACCATTAAAGTGATGAGTAGATGCTGTTGATTTTTGAAGAAGTTTGAGGTAAAAATAAGGCCTAGGAATAATATTTTTTGTACGACAAATGCTACTGAATATATTTTTTGAACTCTTATTTTCATACGTAGATGAAGAAATTTAGGCTAAGCGTCGATGCAGAGGCAGAAAAATATGCTTTTTTAAAGAAGAAACTTGTTTGGCACTAATTGAATAAATTTCCAACTTCATATCGAAAATTTGAGCAGAATTGCAATTGTGTATACATTCTGCTTTCTCTGAATTATACGAGAAAGACTACTATTACAAGAGAGCTACTTCCAATCCCGAAGGCCTCTGGCCTGAGATGTTGGATGTCGTCTGAGCGGCAAACGAACTTGTTGCCCACGTGACGCCCTTGGTGAATAGAAAAGTTTACAATTATACATTTCTGAACCAAACGAAAATTCGAAACATATTTTAAATTGTCTTGCACTATAGTGTAGGTGAAAGATCGGATTGAAACCGACAGTTGTTCAATGTGGTGTCAGATAA